GAGGGTCAATCAGCAGACTACGTAAACTGCAGATATTCATAAAGTGAAATACTACATGGTAATGAGAAGAACAAAGTACTGTTACCCTCCACAGTGTGATAAATCCACACCTGTGAGGTGGAACCAAAGAAGCCAGACCCAGAAAAACAGCTTCCATTTACATGAAGGTCAAAAACAGGCAGAACGAACCTGTGGTGAGAGAAGCCAGCCCGGTGGCCTGGTCGGAGGGAGTGAGCGGGCCTGTGACTGCCGGAGCCTCCCGGCGGGCTGGCTACCTACACCTGGGCGGTGGCCACCCAGGCTGTGCCTGCGCAAACATTAATCAAGCTGCACTTTAAAGTAGATAATGTCGCCTCTATTTCTTCAATGCTATAATTTTTGTCATACATCATCACGGGCCTTGCCTGGGTGGCTCAGCTGGTTGGAGCACAGTCCTGTAGACCAAAACAGTGCAGGTTCGATTCTCAGGGCACTTACACAGGTTATGTGTTTGACCTCTGGTCAGGGCGAGCTCCAGAGGCAGCTGACCGATGTTTCTCTCTCACATCGATGTTTCTCTCTCTCTCTTCTCTCTAAAATCAATAAATATATCCTTGGATGAGGATTTTTTTTTAAATAAAGAAAGAAATCATGAAGAGCGAACTTCCTGTGTCTGAGAGTCACCTCCTGCTGCAGTTTTAGCTGGTGATATTAAAGCCCAGAGTGGGCAAACCACTCCGCTAGTCACCCAGCACATCTGTCGAAAGTCCACTCCCTAAGGAGAGGACTGCATGTCCTGCTTTTCCCACGCAACCAGAGGCTCCTCTAGGGCAAGCTCTCTGTGACCTCCAAATATCAGGGTGTGACCTCTGAATATCGGGGCGCTAGCTCTGGTTTGCAATGGGTCGCTGCCAGGTTGGTGAAACATGGCAGCACAGTCATCACCAAGAGCACAAACTCTGTAGCTGCTACTCTGTAGCTGCACTGGCGGAACATCTCAGTGCCTCAGGTTCCTTATCTACAAACGGGGATCATAATATAATAGTACCTTTTTCCTAATGTTGCTCGGAGGACTCCATGAGTAACTAGGCATAAAGCACTTAGAACAGTGCCTGGCTCCAACAGGGTGCCACGTAAGTGCTTACTATGATGAATGCTACTAGGGGGAAACTCAGTCAGACAGACCAGAGTTAAACTCTGCTCCTCCACTGGCTGCCAGACCTCAGGCAAATCAATTAACCTTTCTGAACCTCCATTTCCTCATCTATTAAACAGAGACGATAATAATTATCTATTGTAATTAAGGCAAAAATAATACATGCAAAGCACCTGACTAAGCTCTTGTGTGCGAGGAGCATGGCTTACACATCTCTCTCACCAAACCCAGCGCTAAGAAACGCTCAATTGCTTGAAAGCATTAAGTCTTTCCCCACCCACCGTCCGTGGCCTTTCATCCTCCGTCTAGTGCTAGCAGAGAGCACCATCTAGTGGAAAGCTCTGGAACTGCACCTAGCCGAGTGCCACTGGCTAAGCGCCTGTGCAGTCCTTTAAATAGCCCTTTAAAATATGCACTCTGACCGGACACGGATCCAGGACCTAAATAGAATGGGGATACACAAGATGACTTGGGGGGGTGCAAGAAAAAATACAAACAATTATCGTCAACACCCTAATTTTTCATTTTAAATAAAATATGAACACCATGTAGAAGGACTTGGAGCACTGGACAGTGTCTTCTTGGGATATTTTCACAATTTCAGGCATGATTCTGAAGCAACCACTCATGTCAATGACTCAGTTAAGGCCAAAGCGACGAAAAGAAAGGGGATTCCCCAGGGTGGCCTGACTTAGCTCCCCAGGCTCCCCGTGAAGAGGGGGGAGTGCGGGAGTGTTTGGCCCCAAAGCCCGAGTTCTCCCACCACCCCCCATCACCCCTCCCCCAGAGCAAAGAGGTCTAGAGGGCTTCTCAAAGAGTAAAGAGGGTCTGGAGGTGGAAATCAAAGAATACTTCATGGAAGAGATGGCATTTCAAACAGGTTTTGGAGAATGAAGGTAGAGAAAGGGGTGGGTGGCTGGGGAAGGAAGGGCATTCCAATGCGATGGGCCACACGGTGTGTAAAGTGAAATGACAGGGACGGGCTGGACAGGAGAGTCAGGGCCACAGCACAGAGGGCTCTAGATGACAGGCCAAGGAGGACCCACTGAGTAAGAAGGTCATCTGACCTGAGGGGACCAAGAAAACAGAGACGCAGAAACTGCGACAGTCCAGACTAGACCCGTGTGAGCTGCACTGTGATGGAGAGGATACAGGAGATACTGGTAAGAAATACATCAAGAAGATGGTGAAGCAGGTATCTAGGGCCCCTCACGGGCATCCCGGGCCATAATGAGGACCAGCTTGTCTTCTGCAACTTGAACAGTGGCGCCCACTCTTCCCCTTCAGTGCTGGGGCTGGCCTTGCCCTCAACGACTACTTTGTCGAGCTCATTTCCTGGTATCTCTGACCCTCTGAAGAAGGGTCAGAGGGACTTAGGGACCCCTACCTTGTCATGCACCATCAATAAAGTTCACTGTACCCAGCCAGAGAGAGAGACAGAAGCAGGGGGAGGTTCAGAAATAGCAGTGGGTCAAATGGGAGACCTGGGTGAGAATTCAAGGTGCTGAGTCTTGGGGAGAAAGGCAGAGCTGTGACCAGAACGTAGACGTGACCAGGGGGACTGATGGGGGGAGGCAGTGGAGACATTCGGCTTGGTCTTCAATAGGGAAAATACAAGTTGCCAGCATCCACATGGAGGTACACGACCAAAGCTTGGGAAAGGGGCTGGGCTGGAGGATGAGGAGGCAGGGACAGTCATCTGGGAGTCACTCACCTATGCAGGTGCAAGCTGAAGATCTGAGAAAGGAAGACAAGGAATCACCAGGGGTGCCACGAGGTCAGAGGATAGACACGCCCTGGACATCATGGGCTCCCTTTTTATTAAAAGTTCCCAAGGACGGAGGAGGAGGGAGAGGCACAGAAGACAGGAAGGGGACCTTCGAGAAAACTGGGAGAACTTGGTGAACATGCAGCAGTGTCGCAGGTCATGGAGACATCGGGGGTCAGAACATGAAGCGATCCTGGGGTCAGAACGGCAGGGAGGCAATCACCGGATTTGTGGCTTGGAGCTGTCATGAGTGATCCTTGAAAAAGGGTTTGGGGGGGGTAGAAGTCAAACCAGGGAGATTTAGGAGGCAAGAGGCAGAGTGCGGGGGCGGGGGGGGGGGCAGCAGCTGAAGCTCCAAGGAGGGAGGTGGTGGTGAGCAGGGCTGCGTTGGCCCCAAGGCGCCTTGGGGACAAAATTCCACTCTCAGGGTTGCGCAGGTGGCTCTGATAAAGAGGGGCAGACACAGGCCCCAGAGCCGTCAAGAGTTAGAGGCCCACAAAGAGACTCTCTGAGAGGAACCCAGTGAGAGAACTTAGAGACCCACACAGAAGCTAAGACCCTCAGTCTCCACATCCCACAAAACACATTGTGATCAGTGGCAGAGCCTTGAACTTCAGAGGAAACGGAGGATGGGAGAGGGGCAGGTGGAAGGAAGTAGTCACACGAACAGGGGCTAGGAACATCCACCTGGAGCAGCCAGGACGCCAGGGAAGGAGGGAGAGCTTCCCCAGCCCCCGGCCGTGAGTACTGGGGGAGGGGAATCCCGGCATCCTTGGGGTCAGCCTGGGAAAAGCACAGAATCCAGCTCTACCCTTTCCCCCAGGTTGCTCCACTTGAGGGAGCCTTGTGGCGCCAGCTGAGAGACGCGGCACCCCACACCAACCCTGAACACTTTTTCTTCCAAAAAATACGGGCAAGTGCCCCCTTTCCAGGACTCGGGTTCTGCAGGGGGCAGCACGGTGGCGCCCAGAAAGCCGTGTCCGTGTCCTCACTCCCTGCCCTCCAGACGCGAGTGTGACCTAATTTGGAACAAGGGTCTTTGCAGATGTAATTAAACGAAGGACGAAGGACGTCAAAATAACGTCAGGCTGGATTATCCGGGCGGGCCCTAAATCCAGTGACGAGCACCCTTACGATACAGGGGTGGGGAAGGCCCCGCAAGGGCGGAGGCAGAGACGGGCGATGCCGCCCCAACGGCAGGAACGCCCGGCCTCTCCGAAGGCCGGAGGAGGCCGGGAAGGAATCCTGCCCGGGAGCCTCCAGACCTCGGCCCTGCCAACAGCTTCATTTCGGACTTGTGGCCTCCAGACTGTGAAAGAGTGAATTTCTACTGTTCGAAGCCACCAAGTCTGCGGCAGTCTGCTCCGGCGGTCCTGAGAAACTAATACAGTTCCCTGTTATGTAAAATGACTAGAAAGTTCCTAGGGAGGCTTCCAGCCTCAAGATTCTCCAAATTAAACCTTTTCGGCAAGGAAGGGAGTTCCAGGTCTGGCCAAAAGGGGTGTGTGTGGGGTGTGTGTGTGTGTGTGTGTGTGTGTGTGTGTGTGTGTGTGCTTTAACTCACAGTGCCACCCGCTTTACAGGTTGAGGTTTCTACTTTCACTTGAGTGAGGAGGAGGGAAGCCTAATTAAGGGCCCACCTCCCACCACTCAGGGAAGGAGAGGCCAAAAGAGTTATTTCATGACCCACCACCGCTTCCTCCTTCGCCCGAAAGCTCACGCCATCCTGCCCAGGCTGCTGACCCAGACCACCTTACTGAAAAGCAAGGAGCTTTTTAAAAAGTAACAGGACCCAGCCTTTCTGAATTTGTCCTTGCAAACATCACCCCCTCTTCACATCAACTCTCTCCTCACACGTCTTCTTCCTCTGCCTTCCCCAGTCTTGGGGGGCAAGATAAGAGGGTTACCCCAAAGCTCAGGAAGGGAAGGCAGGCTCCCGCCCTCCCACCGTCCTCCCCCGCACAGCTGGAGGGGGGAGGGGAGGTCAGCAGGGTTCACAAAGGCCAGATGTTGAGGAGAAAGAGAGCAGCGCCCACCCCACGCCCACCACTCCACCCCCACCCTCGCCCCCAGAGGAAAAAAATGAAAAGACACAGGTTTTAAAACGAACACAATTTTTGTGGTTCAAAACAGTTTTTCCTCAAGAATCTGCTCTGTGCAAACAATAACTTTTTACAAAGCATTTTCACAGAAAAGGAGACAAGTCCTTCCCCAGTATCGCTTGTGGGAACTGTTCCTCCCTCACCCTGTTGTGGGGGAAAGAGGGGCATTATTCACTGGCGTGGACAGAAGGGTCACTGGGTCCCTGTGTTCTTGGGCAGATTCTCAACCCCCCAGGTCCTCCTCACACCTAAACTCGGAATCTCCCTAAGAGCTAACCTCCCCTGACCTCACCTGGGTGGAGGAGAAAGCGACTCCACCCCTCCCAGACTGGAGGGGATCCTCCCAGCCTGAGGGCGTGGCCCAGGCTCAGCTCGCCCCCAACCCCTCCCGGAAAACAGAACCTCTGACCTCCAAACTAATCCCCTGGCCCTGCCCCCGCGGGATCCATCAGGGCCCTGACAACTCCCAAAATGCCTTAAGTAAAGGAGGGAAGTTGAAGGAACCTCAGCCCAGCTCCCACCCAAACCCAAACTTTGCCCCTTCAGACCTCGCTGGACCTTGTGGTCAGGCTCAGAGCCCTTACATTTACCCCTCCCCTCCCCCCAAAAGCAGCTTGCCTTGTGCCTACCCGTTAACGGGACTGAGTCTGGTGTCCAAAAATGAACCCAAGCTTCCCCTCTACGTCCGTAAACGCTGGAGAGGGCCTCGGAAGGCAGCTTGTTTGGTCTGGTTTTGTTGATTTCTCCCACCTTCCGTTACTCTCCCTGGGGCGGGCTCTGGCCCCTACCCCAGGCAAAGCCTGCACTTTAGGAGGGGAGGCGTTCCCTCGGCCCTGCCCCTCCCCACACGAAGAGTAAACTGGGGGAGGGGTGGGTTTACCAAGGGGCGTCCTCTTTTACCCCTCAGACCTTATAAACTGAAAGCAAGCCGGAAGACTGAAGAAGGAAACTCCAAAACTGGACGAAAGGGAAAAGGTGAGGGCTGAGACTGAAGATCTCGCCCATCAGGGTTCTCGGGGGTCCCGAGGAAGGGGGTGATAGTCCCTTTGCTCAAGCTGCCCCATCCCCCGTGAAGGCTCCGTAGTGCTGGGAGTGCTGGGGAAGGCCCGAGGGGAGTGAAGGGTTAAAGGCCTAGATGGTGGGGGTGGGGGATGCCCCCAGGGAGCTGCCAATCACCTCCCCGCCCCCACCACAACCCCCACATCCCCGGGCTCGCCCACAGAAACAACCGGTTTGTCCATCACCAAGGTCTCTCTCCATTTTTTTTTTTTGCCTTGCCTTGGAGCAGCAACCTCCTTTACTCCCCCTGGGGTGAAGGCGCTGCCCTCAGCGATCCGAGAAGGCAGAGGGGAGGGGCTGGGATCTATGTCATTGAGTCCTTTTCCGTTAAGCCTTCTCCTGACTCCAGCCCTTAGTTCGTCTCGAAAGGATGAGGGGGAGGGGGTGTCACCCCAACCAGTTAGGTGCTTGAAGATCACTGTCATTTGAGGTCCCTCTGTCCACAACCCATAAAACGTAAAGAGGTCAGGCAAATGTGAGAAACCAGCCAGCAGTTTGGCTGTGACCCCAACTTTTCCCTCTTGGCAGAAGAGGCATCACGCTCAGAGTTCCTCCAGGTTGATCCCCCAGAATTTGACGCCGGGGGGCTCAGGGACAGCGGGACCCCCCATCTGCCATCTCCACAGGGGGTGGCCAGGAGGGGGCTTAGCGCCTCCCTGGAGGCGAAGCGAGGATGCTGGCCCTAAATCTCCGTCCTCGCCCACGACCAGGGCCGGGGGGCAGGGGAAACAGTCGAGGAGGCAGAAGGTGCTGGTGGTGGGAAGCGTTGGTGCAGGGCGGCGGAGCTGCACGTTGCGCGGGGGGGGCGCCGGCCGTCGGCGTTTCTTGGCTGCTCCCCGGGAGGGCCCTTTTGCTGGCGGCCGTTCGGGCCCCCTGCGCAAACTCGGAGTATCGAGGGCGAAGCCCTTCGCATAACACCAAAGTTTCGACCGGCGGATCAGACGATCGAAATGTTCCTGGCGGAGGTTGCCGGGCGCGGTCGGAGCTCCGCTGGCCGTCGAGGGGCTAGCGGCGGGTGCCTCGGGGGCGGCCTGCGTGGGGGTTCCATCCACTGCAGCCGTCCGGCCGGGCAGAGGCGGCTCCGGCACGGTCTCAGGCCCCGCGGGCTCGATGGAGAAGATCGCAGGTGGCGGAGAAGGCCGAGAATCGGGCTCCCGATGTGGGTCGGCGGCGGCGCGGCCAAGCTGAGAATCGAGACCCAGGGCTGGCCGAGGCGGAGCGGAGGCGGAGCCGGTCAGAGATTCCCGAGGGCTCCGGGGCGCCGGGCAGCGGCCCGGAGGTCCGCCGGAGCGAGCGCCTAAGTGCGGGAAACTGCCTCCGCCCTCTTCCTCTTCACCGCGGCCCCGGCACACCGCGGCGTCGGCATCCTGGCCGGCCGGGGAGCTCGGAACGCCGGACCGCCCGGCCTGTCCCGCGAGGTGTTTCAGGCCATCCGGGGCCCAGCCGCCGGTGCACAGAGAGGCGCGAGGGCCCAGCAGCAACGGAGCCCGCGGCGCCGGCTCCCCAGGCCCCAGGCCCAGAGAGGACGCCCGGGGCTTGGCAAGGGCGCAAAAGGCAAGGGCACGCAGGCACAGCGGAGAGAACTCCTGGGTCCCCAGACGCGGCTTCCTAGGTGTGGGGGAGCAGGGCGACCCTCGCGGGGACGCCGGCACTGCGAGGCGAGGAGCGGGGCACAGAGTCTCCATGGCACCTCCTAGGGGGGTGCCCACTGAGGGGGCCCCGGCCCCAGCGGCGGGATGCCCTGGCTGCCCGAAGAACCCACGGACCAGGGGAACATCGCCCCCCCTCGACGGGGAGGTCTCTGCTCACGGGCGCCCCCGGCCCGCACCCTTGGGCCGCGAAGCTCTGACTCCCGCCTCGATCTCGTCACGCGGCCCTCGCGGCGGCCGGACTCCTGGGTCCCCGCGAGTCCCTGCGCGGTCGGCCGCCCTTCCTGCCGCCGCGTTCCCTAAGCAGACCCTGCGGGAGCCCCTCTCGAGTAGCCCGGAGCGCAGAGGCGGGGGAAACAAAGCGACCGGCGACCGCGGGAAGCGGGAAGGACTCGGGGCCCGGCACCCGGTGCCCGGGCCCAGGCGGCGGGGAAGGCGCCTTCCGCCCGCTCGGCTCCTTTCTTCCCCGCTGGCTCCCGGAGACCGCGTTATAGAGAACTGCCCCCTCGCTGCCCCAATACCAGCGCCCGGGCCGCGAGCCCGCCGCTGATTGGGCGGCACCGCCGGTGACGTCAGCCGGGACCCCACCCCTTCGGCGGCACCGCCCCCGTCCCCATTCGGCGCACAGACACACACACGTGGACCTGGCGCGGCCGCCGCAGGGAGGGAACGAAGGAGGGAGCGTGCCCCGGTGGGACTGCGAGGGGCGAGACGCGACGCTGCACGTGGCCGGGTGACGTCCTGGCATTTAGTCGTCGCAAAGCAATTCTTTTTTTCTGTTAAAAGTCACGATTTTCGCATCTGTAAAATGGGAATATTCATATCTACCTTCTTGAGGCTACTTGAATGAAAATAGATGAATCTCAAAAACAGTGTTGAAGGGGAAAGATGAAATGAGGCGATGGTGGCTTGGAAGCTTTGCATGGCGGGGACTCCTGCGAGCAGAGAATGTACCCTACCTCTCTGTTCCAGTCCCTTAGAACAGTGACTGGTAGGCCCTGGACTGAAAAAATGTGGAATGAGTAGTTAGGAATTGAGTAAACCTGTGCCAGGTGGGAGAAGGAAAACAAATTCGGAGAGGGGTATTATTACACCACAGAAGATGACTGGCTTTCTCGGTACCTGTTTCCATTTTTCTAATGCAGCTTCTAAACGACCTCGTAACCAAATCCCAAGGGGCTGGCTCAGCTGACACCCTTGAATCCCAAGATTCTGCCTTCTGAGTCCTAAGCTGTGAAAACGGGTTGAGGAGGTCAGAGAAGGGGACACACAGAGACCTCACTTTTATCTCCCCCCCAAAAGTAAAGCAAAGAAAAAGTGAATCCCCAATAAAGACCACCCAAATCCTCCCCGCAGTATGGTCTATTTCCTTATGTTTCTTTAGTTTCTGTATAGCATACTGTGATATGAAGACCTGAACATATTTATTCTTTATTTTCTGTCTCACCTATTAGTCTGGAAATGAGCTGATGAGAACTTGGTCTTAATCAGGACTTCATTTTCACTGTCTAGAATCATGCCCAGAAGTAACAGGTGCCCAATAAATACAGGGTGCGGCACAAATAACGCCCCTTTTATTACAAAATCACGTAACTCTGTAACATAGCAATATCACATTCAAGCACACCTCATGACATTTTAGGTGAAATGTTCTAATTAAAACAATAAGTTATTGCACCCGGATTATTACCCTACCAACCATACTCGAACAGGTGTTACTTCTGCCAAACCCTGTATTTGTAAGTGAATGAATGAATCCCCAGAATATGTCTGTCTTGATAAAAAGCAGGTTATTGGAATATGGCTTCCTCCAATCCTCAGAAATATAAAGAGAGTTTGGTGTGATGGCTTGGAGTAAGAGTGTGCAAGGACGCTGGAGGGAGGTCAGAGAGAGAAATATCTCACTCTGGGGCTGGGGTAAGAGAAGCTTCCTGTAAGGGGACAAATCATGTGGTTTGCATCCTGGCTCTCCTGGCTGTGACAACAGAAAAATTCCCCCCCCCCCTGCAAAGTCATCAAATAACATTTGGGAGGAAAGGAATCAGGAGGGTCGGCCTTCCCACCTCCTTTTGCAGAGACCATAGGTACAATCTCCAAGGCAGAGCTAGAGTGTAACAAATGGGGGAGGGGAGTGTTCTGTTGCTCAAAACTCTCACCTGTGAGCATCTTCTACAGGTTTCCAGAGCAGTTGTCATGAGGACAACTCCTAGGGTCCTGCTGGTTAGACCTCAGGGTTCCTAAGTGCCCCCAAACACTGACCCCCCCATCCCCTGCCCACACACAAAGTTTCAGTTATAAGTAACACTGTTATGAACATTTGCATACAAGGCTTTGTGCGGACATATGTTTTCACGCTAAAAGTGGAATTTCCAGTTCACACGGTAAATTTATGTTTAACTTTTGAAGAAACTGCCACACTGTCTTCTAGACTGGCTATCCCATTTTACATTTCCATTAATATCCATGTAATAATAAATGGGGAAAGTGAGGGACAGAGACATTAAGTGATTTGCCCAAGGTCACACTCCTAGCAAGGTCAGAGCCTGGACTCAACCCCAAGTCCCAAGTCCATGGTCACAACCAGAAGTCTACCCCATGACAATGAGTCTAAGAGGGAAGCCATTTCTTGCCCTAACACACTGTAGTGGTCACCATCTTTGCCTATCTTGCTTCTGGAATGATGGTGGTCTTCACGGGGGTCTCTCCTGGGGGGCGGTGCTGAGAACTCTTATTCTGAGACAGCAGTGCCTGATTTCTCTTGCTGGTGGGGCAGAGGGGCATCTGCTTCAATCCAGCTCTACTGCAGCCTCTTTGCAGCTGCCACACCTGGGGCAGGGGCTTGGGCCCCACCTGCAGAAACCTGGATGATGCAGGTCAATAACCTCCTCCTTCTCCTACTCCCAAAGCCACCAGTTTAGGGGCTTTGTCGGGGACTGTTACAATTGAGAGGCCTTCCCTGGAGGAGGAATTCCCTCCACCTCCACTTTCCTTTCTTTCTTTGCTTCCTTGAATCAGGCAAAGCCCCAGGTGGCATGGAAGCCCTTTGCAAACGTTAGGAATTAGCGTTCTCGCCTCAAAAGGACCTGGAGTCATCCAGCCTCGGTTTTCAGAGCACTTGGATTTGGGGTTCCAGCGGCGCAATCCTGAGCGGGTTACCTAGACACTCTGAAGCGCAATGTCCCTATCAGTGAAAAGCGGACAACAGTAGCCGCCTCATAACATTGTCAGGAGGGTGGAAACACGTGAGCCGGCTGGCCCCTCCGTTGCAATTCCCGTTGCCTACGGTAGAGGACACTCGATCCCGTCCTCAGCCTGCGGGATGAGAAGGCAACAGCAAGCCTCCTCGGGAAGCCCACTCCCCATAGGAGAACAAGGGACGAGGCTGAATGTTGGGTTCCAACTGACGCCTGGGGAGTAAGGCACACAGGACAGGCCCCTAGGGACCTGAAAGCCAACCCTTCCACGTCCTGGTCCATCTAAGTCTCACCCAAAGACCCGCGTTCAATAACCTGGGAGCAGAGGACCTGCCTAGCTGCCGTTTCCCTGGAGGAAGGCAGAGCAGCGAACTGGCCCCAGAGGTCCAGCCCCATAACAATGTCCGCGGCACTGACTGGATTCCAGCCTCTGGCTTAAGAACTTTGTTGTTTAATCCCCGTAACAATTGTACAAGATAGATACTATATTTTTAAAATTTTACATACCCTACCTACATAACCCAATTTCAGTGCCCAATTCAACGATTTTTATTGAATTTGCAGTTATGTGATGATCACCACAGTCCGATTTTAGAACATTTCCTAAGCGACCCCTCATCACTCCCAGCACTGATTCTGCATTCCCACCCCCCAGTGCCCAGTGACTCACCTGCTTGCTGCTCTCTAGGTCCACCTCGCTGGGCGCATCATGGGAGTGAGTCGCAGGTATGTGTGTGGCCTGTCGCTTCTGACTTCTTTCACAAAAGTGTCACATTTCCCAGGTTCATTCATGCCGTGGCACGTGCTGGTGGTCTATCCCCGCGTACTGCTGAGTGCCACCCCTGGTCTGGGTATGCCGCCGTTTGTTTATCCAGTCGCATCCGGGTGTTTCCACTGTGCAGTCACTGTACCTAACACTCTTATGAACATTTGCATACAGGGCTTTGTGTGGACATAAGTTTTCACGTTAAAAGTGGAATTTCCAGTCCACACGGTAAATTCATGTTTAACTTTTGAAGAAACTGCCAAACTGTCTTCTAGACTGGCTATCCCATTTTACATTTCCATTAATATCCATGTAATAATAAATGGGGAAAGTGAGGGACAGAGACATTAAGTGATTTGCCCCAGGTCACACTGCTAGCAAGGTCAGAGCCTGGACTCAACCCCAAGTCCCAAGTCCATGGTCACAACCAGAAGTCTACCCCATGACAATGAGTCTAAGAGGGAAGCCATTTCTTTCCCTAACACACTGTAGCGGCCGCCATCTTTGCCTATCTTGCTTCTATGATTCCCAAAACCAGAGTCTTTTCTGACCAGCAGGACTGCGTCACCCCTTACCCACCCCCACACTTCGCCATCTGGAAACTGGCGCCCAGGGTTAACAGCTCACGTGCTGGATTCAGATGGGTCTGTTCATATTCCTGAGTCATCATTTTACCACCTGTGTGCTTGAGGGGCAAGTTCCTTAACTTCTGCTTTCTTCATCTGTAAAACAGAAATCACGTCTTTCTTTACGCAACTAAAATGTCCTATTATGTATAGTCAATAATACTTCGAGAACTACTTATGGTGTCAGGGGTATGCTGGAAACATCGGGGGCACTTTCTAAGGTACATGATTGTCTGACCACTATGCTGTACACCTGAAACTAATACAAAATAACACTGAATGTAAACTGTGACTGAGACATAAACTTTAAAGTTCCTTTTAAAAAACATTGTATTATGGAAATTTTCAAACCTACACAAAAGTAAGAGGAGGAGTACAATGAACCTTCACACACCCAACCCCCAGCTCCCACACTTACCAACTCCGGGCCAGGCTTGTTTTACCCTAACCCCTACCCACTTTCTCCCCTACACCAATTTTTTTAAAAATCAATTTTACCGAGGTATGATTTCAATATAATAAATGTCCATTTTAAGTGTACAGTTCAAATAATTTTCCCATTTGAATGCACCCCTGTAACTCCTGCAATGAAGATGCAGAATATAACCCATAGTATCTTGAAACAAATCCCAGACATCATATCATTTTAATCCCAACTACTTCAATACGTATTTCTACAAGATAAAGACTCTTAAAATAAATATAACCTCGATGCTATTATCAAACCTAAAAAGAATGAACAGTCATCCTTTAACGTCGTGAAATAGTCAGTATCCAAGTTTCTAGTTACCAGAAATGATGGCAACAGGGTCTGGTGGGAGAGGTCAGATGCTACAGCTAATCTGAGAAGTAGCAGCAGCGGAATGGCCCTGGTCCGGGCAGGGTGACGTTGAGGAGGGAAGTCCTTTCAGAGACAGTAGCCTTCCACTTAGGTTCCGAAGCTGAGCAGGATCACAGGAAGGAGGCATGGGGTGGGGGGGGGGGGAACTGCAGCTGAGCACACAGTGTGGGCAAGGAAGAGAGGCAAGCAAGTGCCTGTCCTGCTGCTGCCAACTACCAGCCGTCAATAGCCACTGCTCTCATCAAGGAGAGAGTGTGCCCTGGCATTTGTCCTGTCCCAGCTGTCCTCCCAGAGGCACCCCTGATCCCTCTCTCATGTCTCTCCTATTAAAAAGCCAAACCATGCCCTGGCCGTGTGGCTCAGGTGGTTGGAGTGCCGTCCTGTACACCAAAAGGTCAAGACACATACCTAGGTCTCAGGTTCGACCCCAGGTGTGGGTGTGTGCAGGAGGCAACTGATTGGTGTTTCTCCCTCATATCAATGTTTCTCTCTTTAAAAAATCAATAAGTATATCCTGGGGTGAGCGTTAAAACAAAAAGCCAAATCTTCCCTTGACCCCTCAGTCTCTGGCCCCCTCTTTCCTCCCCTTCACAGCCAAGCTTCCCACCAGAGCTGTCTACACAGTCTTCCTTTTCTCACTTCCCACAGACTCTGCAACCCACTTCCATCTGCTTCCACCTCCACCGCCCCTGAAATAGCTCCTGCTGAGGTCCCTGTGGCTTCCAGCTCATTAAAACCCGCAGGCTCCTGCCAGCCCTCTGGCCTTGACCTCTCAGCAGCATCCCACACAACCGGCCACTTCCTCTTTCCAGAAACTCTCTAGTCACCCGCCTTCCAGGCACCTGGCTTTCCTGGTTCGCTCCCGCCTCCCTCTGCTCCTCCTCGGTCTGCAGCACGGGCTCATTCTCCCCTTCGCAGCCCAAACTGCAAGGCTCTTCAAGGCTCGGTCCAGAGCTTATCCCATGTCCGTCTGGGCGTTCTCCTGTGCCCGCTCCGCCACTACCATCCGGCCACCGAGGGGCTCAGCCCACGCCTTTCCTCTCAGCTCAAACCAAGACACTTCACTGCCGCTCAGCTCCTACCCCGGACATCTCCAAAACCCAGCAAACTCAACCTGTTCCAGTGGGCCTCCTCCTCTGCCACACAGACCACTTCCAAGGAAGCCTGGCCCAATGTATGGCTCCTGTACCCACCCACTTCCGCAGCCAGAAACCCAGATGTCATCCTGGTACCTCCCGGTCAATGCCTCAGCATCACACTGCATGTCTGCTGCTCTACTTCCACTCCAGCCCACCCCGGCAGCGCCCCCACAGCCTGCCATGCCCTCTACAGAGCCAGAAGTTACCTTTCTAAGCCGTAAATAGGATTGTGTTAGCCCCCTGTTCAAAACCTTTTCATGGCTTCCTATCGCCTTCAGGATGAAGAGTGAAAGCATTAATTTGGCTCACAGGTGAGTCTGGCCACCTTACCCACAGTCCTCCTGGGGAGAGGGAACTGGCCCCTCACCTCCACCTCCCCCGTGCTGTCCTCTCTCGTTCGGTCACCCCGACCTCTTTTAGTGCCTAAAGCAACACGATCCCTCCTCTCCCCTCTCCCCAGCAGGTACTGTTTGTTCCACAGGACCATGAACTTTCCCCACCTCCCTTTCCTGTGCCTGGCCAGCACCTATTCGGAGCTCCATCAAGCCATCCTTGCCTTGCAGAGAACCTCTCCCAACCCTCCCGCCGACTGTGGTCAGGTTGGCTGCCATCATTATCCGCCCTCGAGACCCGCGAAGCTTCTTCCTTCAAAGCATTTTCATTCACTTGTCACTGTTCGTATATTAGTGTGATTAATCAATTACTCACCTCTCCCCTACCACACTGCATGTTTCATGGAGGCAAGGAGCACATTAGAGTTTGCCTTAGCTCAGTGATCAGTACACAGTTGGAACTCAAATCCATATTGAAAAAAAGATTTTAAGCCCTGGCCAGATAGCTCCGTTGGTTAGAGCGTCATTCCATGGGGCCAAGGTTGTGGGTTTGATCCCTGGTCAGGGTCTATACAAGAAGCAACCAATGAATGCATAAATTGCATAAATAAATGGAACAACACATTGATGTCTCTCTCTAAAATCAATCAATAAATAATATTTTTTAATTTTTTTATCATGTACATTTCAAACTGAAAAAGAAGTAGACAATAGTGAAATGAACCCCATATGCCCATTACCTAAATGGGTAATTATTAACATTTTATCATTTTTGTCAGTTTTACTAAAATATTTTCAAGCGATTTAGCATTTTCATGACTGTTAATCTCCTAGTTGCTTCAAGAAGTTTTCTTTTCTTTTAATTCCATAATCCTCAATTTATGTATACTCTTTTAAATACTTTATTTTTTAAAAGATTTTATTTATTTATCTTTAGAGGGGAAGGGAAGGAGAGAGGGAGAGAAATATCAATGTATGGTTGCCTCTCGTGTGTCCCCTGCTGGGAACTGGCCTGCAACCCAGGCATGTGCCCCGACTGGGAATCAAACTGCGATCCTTTGGTTCACAGGCCTGCACTCAATCCACTGAGCTACGCCAGCCAGGGATAGGAAGTTTCCTTACTGCAATATTATAATCACACATTATAAAATTAGCAATAATTCTTTAAAATCATCTAATAGCCAGCTCATATTCAAATTTCCCTAATTGTCTCTTCAAAACATTTCTCTTGCATTTGGTTTGTTTCAGCCAGGTCCACACATTGCATTTGGTTACACATCGTAAGTCTCACTTAAATCTAGAATAACTTTTTCCCCTATGCCACCGAGTCGTTAACTTGCTACAGTATTTTAAGTAAATTGCAGACCTCGTGTCCCACCTTCTAGATTTCTTTGATTGCTTCCTAGTTGTGTTGTTTATCCTGTATTGCCTGTAAACTGGAAATTAGATCTACAGGCCTGATTAAATTCAGATTGACTGGCAAACACACGTCATGGATGCTGCTGCTTCCCCCCACGCCTGAGCTCCCCGTTAGCGGTGGAATGCGGATGCGCAGGCCCCTGGATGACAGCTGATCCCTTTCCCGAGAAGTTTCTTCCTTCGGGACCAGCAGGTAACCTGTGGGACCCTACTTTGAGGTGACTGTGTTTTTAACCAATGAATGGAGTAGGTCAGCGTGGCTGAACAGTGGTGAGGATGAAGGGCAGAAACCAGGACTCAAAGGGTCCGAGGCATGGATAGGAAATGTGGACGTTAGCCTGCAGGATGGGGAATTACAGACCACTTTTATGCAAAGGAAATCATGTGGTCACACTTGGCAAGGGCAAGGGGTGGGGAAGCAGGAGGAGAATAGGGAACGAGCATTTCCTGAACGCTCAGCCTGAACCCAGCTCGGGGTCTGGCACATTCGACCTAAGTGAAATTTCCACTGTATTTAAAAGAAAAATCCTAGTTTACAGATGAGGGAATGGAGGCTCAGACTCTTTCGGTCACTCATCCCGGGTCACGGCAAAAGATGGCGAAGACCTCAGGAAGGCAGCGGCCACGAGTGTGGACGGGTATTTGAGGTGGAATCAGCAGCACTTGAAAGCAAGTGGCCGTGGGGAGGAGGGGAAGCAGCAGCCCTGGCTGAAGCTGACTCACGGGTGGGATGCAGGAGGGGACAAGCAGGTTGGAGAGGGAGATAATGAGTCCAGGCTCCCAGCTGCCCAGATGTCTCCAAGCCGCTCTCTTGAGAAATGATGTTTATAACATGACAATGTCTATAATTTGGCTTCCGGCAAGACTCGATAATTGGCTTAAGTTATCCCTCACTGGCATTCCGTTCAAAGCAAGGACGCTCGTGCATTCGTTCTGGTGAGGCCTGTTTTCTGTGTTAGAACGTCTGTATGAACCTGGATCGGTGCGGTCTCTCTCTTGGCTCAAGGGGGCCAGAGATTGCAGTCACAGGGTGGGTAGGCTGTCTGTCCTCTCAGTTAGAGTCTGTCTGTCCCTGGGGTGTAGGCTCCCCCTCAGATAGAGAGCTGCCAGAGGGTGGGGCCTTGAAACCTGCCCAGTCAATGCCCACCAGGAGTGTGGTCAAGAGCTGGGTCCCGGGAGCCACATTGGAGGATAGCGACGAGGAAGATGGTTCACTGGCAGGGAGCTGCCAAGGTCAGCTACAAGGATGCTTAGGGCTGAAAGAGAACTGTGTTTAGAGGAATCGGGGAAACTTTCTCGCTTAAGAGGTGTAGGCAAGGCAGGTTTTATGAGGCTTGGTGCCTGATCCAGAGAAGGGGTGAAAAGTGAGGCGATAAAGATCTGAGAAAGACCCGTGGGTTTGTCTCGGGAGCGAGTGGGAGCTATTAACGGAGGTGAAGACCTTCTGCAGGAGGGCGGTCCCGGGACAGGGAGACGGTGAATGCAGTTTGGGACTCAATGAGCCAAATTTAAGTGGGTGTGTGGCCTGAGGAGACCTGGAAAAGGAGGTCTGGGACTAGAGAGCAATCAAGACCCAGTCACAGGCACACTGATCAAGGTAGAAACTTCAGGTGTGCATCAGCTGTGCCGGGGAGAGTCATGTGCTCCCGAAGACCCCTTTGGAGTGGTCAGGGAACAGGACCCCAGCCAAAGCAGCTGAGAAATGTGGGAGAGTGAGACGTGCAGGGAGGCCATGGGATCACATGCCATGGATAGGGTAAGTAGGACAATGACTGAAAAGTTATTGGCCTTAGTGATTCTGAATGAGCCAGTCAGGAGTCTAGGAAACCGACTCAGGGCTTATTAGCAAAAACAGAGAAATGGCAGAGATCGCCTGGAGGTGGAGACGAAGAAGCAAAGGGCATAGCTGTCTCTTAGCAGGACATGGCACTGGACACAACAGCCATTGGCACCACAAGCAAAGCCATCAAGAAGGACCCCGCCTGCCTCTGTTCTGCTGACTCCTCAGAGCGGAGCAAGAGGGCATCAGATTAGCAGGGCTTGGGTCACATGTCCACACCTCAGTGCCCAGAGCAAAGAAACCACAGAGGCTCAGAAGTCATTCCTTCGGTTCTTTCAGTAAGTATTTATTGAGCATCTAGTATGTGTCAGGCACAGGTCTAGGCCCTTGAAAACATTGACAAAATCCACAGAGATCCTTGTCTTCAACGGCCCTGTCATTAGAGGGGAAAGACTGACAGTAAACAGCAGACATAAATATGTGAATGATGTAGGTTAAGAGGACAGAGAAAAAGAAGAAGGAAGATTGGAAAAGTATAAGGAGTGGGTGGGAAGGGCACAGGCTGCAATTTTACAGTGTGGTCGGGGAGGACCTAATGGGGAAGGTGGGTGTGAGCCCTGTGTGCACAGGAAACAGCAAGGAAGCCAGTCTCGCTAGAGCGCAGGAGCCAAAGGAAGAGATCGGGCTGGAGGGATCGAGGCAGCAGACTGGATGGGACCTCATGGAACCCTGTAAGGACTTAGGCTTCTCAGCGAGTGCAGGGGGGACTCTGGGAGGACTTGGACCCCAGGGGTGACCCGATCATGCTGCAGGTTACTAGGATCTCTTTGGCTGCTGGGTGGGGAATATGGTGGAGGCAGGGATGGAGGCATGGAGACCAATTAGGAGGCTTGCACAATAATCCAGGGGAGCCCTGGCTGGTGTAGCTCAGTGGATTGAGCTTGGGTCTGCGACCCAAAGGATTGGTCCCGGTTAGGGCACATGCCTGGGTTTCAGACCGGTTCCCAGCGGGGGACACATGAGAGGCAACCATACATTGATGTTTCTCTCTCTCTCTCCTTCCCTTCCTCTTCTAAAGATAAATAAATAAAATCTAAAAAAAAATAATAATCCAGGGGAGAGAATGATGGTGGAGATGGTAGGAAGTCATCAGATGCTGCGTGATTTATGAAGGTAGAACTTACAGGACTTGCTGACAGTGCTGTGGGAGAGGAATTGGAAATGTTTCCGGATTTTGGGTTGAACAGCTAGAAAGATGGTGTTGCCGTCAGTTGAGATGGAGGAGGCTGTGGGTGAGGCAGGTGGCATGGGTGCGGCGGGGGAGAAAGGGGTGGGATGGAGAGTAACCTTTTGGTGTATGGGACGATGCTCTCACCAACTGAGCCGCCAGGCCGGGGTGAGGGGAGATGGCCTTTAGTAAGGAGATGGCCTTTTGTACGGAGGTGGCCTGGGCCCATTTGGAAGCTGAGGGCAAAGAGGCAAGTGAGGGAGAGGTTGCTGATCGGGATAAAGAAAATCCACAAGAGGGAGGACAGATGGGCCCCAGCCGAGGACTGGCCTGGGAGAGCCAAGGTTCAAGCTCAAGGTGAACAGAGGGAAGAATTCCAGACATGGTTTGACAGAAGAGGTGGTGGCAGGGGCGTCAGGTGAGAAGGAGGAGTCAGGCAGGACCCCAGAATATCGAATCCCAACTCCCACCATCACCCTGAAACCTTCCATGCGAACCTCCGAGTCCAGGTTTCCTCATCTTCCCACCATTCTCCAGCCCTCAGCCCCAACCCACCCCTGCCATGACCAAGGTCTGCTGCACCCCGGAATCCTCAGAGCTCTGAGCACAGCCTCATACCTGAGTCCCAACCCACATGGCTGCTTTCTCTGCTTCTGCCGCAGGCTGCAGTTGGGAGGCACCCATTCTGGCTGTCCCCGCAGCCCTGCCCAGCCCCTCTGTCCTCCAGCCCTGAGCGGCTCCCTCTCCTGCTCTCTGCCTGGGCCCCCCACTCAGCAATGGCTTTGCTTCCCGTCTCAGAAAGAAAATGCAGTGCTGAGTGAGAGAAGCCAAACACAAAAGAAGACAGTGTGAGATTACGGTTTTTTGAAGTTCCGGAACCAGCAAAATGGATGTATCCTTCTCTATGGTGATAGAAATCAGGCCGGTGTCGCCGGGGGGGGTTGGGAAAATGCAACGGGGTCCCAAGGAACTCTCCGGAGAAACAGAAATATCTTTACTGGGGTGGTGGTTACATGACTGCGTGTATTTATCAGAAGTCACCCTGGCTGGTGTGGCTCAGTGGACTGAGCGCCAGCCTGGGAACTCAAGGGTCGTGGGCTCTATTACCAGTCAGGGCAGGTGCCTGGGTTGGGGGACGGTCCTGGGGTGCAGGCGCAGGAGGCAACCACACACTGATGTTTCTCTCCCTCTCTTTCTCCTTCTCTTCCTCCCCATCTGCAAATGAATATGTAAAATCTTTTTTTTTTAATGAAAAAGGTCATCACTTGTGCCCGGACCAGTGTAGCTCAGTCGGTTGGGCACTGTCCCACAAAGTGAAAGGTCGCCAGTTCGAATCCAGGGCAGGGCACACCCGTGAGTTGTAGGTTTGGTCCCCCGTCAGAGCGTGGGCACCTATGAGAAGCAACCCATTGATTTTTCTCTTCCCCTCTTTTTCCCTCACTCCCCCTCTCTCTAAAAATAAAATAAAATCTTTTTTAAAAAGTCATCACTTGCTCACTTAAAATACAGACATTTTATTATGTGCAAATAATGCCACTAAAAAGTCTTTTTTTAAGAGTGACAGATGTTAGCTTATCGCACTAAGCACTTGTACACACATCAAATCATTGTGCTGTACACCTCAAACTGGTGTACGGTCAGGCGATGTTGTATGTCAGTTACATCCCAGTAAAACTGGAAAAATGGAGGAGCCCAAAAGGGGTTGTGGGAAAAGGCTCTTCGTTTCCGCCTGGCCAGCAGCGGTCTGGTAGGCCAAGGTGGGCGTTGCCAAGCGCGCCCTTGACCTGTGGAGGAGGAAGCAGCCGGATGTGACGCGCTTCCTTCTCAGGGAGCGCTGCTGGCAGAACCGCCAGCTCTCTGCATTCCCCAGGGACACCCCCGCCCCCTGCACCGCCCCACCAGGCCCAATAAAGCGTGCAGGCTGGGATACAAGGTCAAGCAAGGTTATGTTATATATCAGATTCATGTGCCCTGTGGTGACCTATGGCGAGTCTGTCCACTTCGGTGTTAACCAGCCGAAGTTTGTTCGAAGCCTTTAGTCTGTTGCTGGGCGCCACCGTGGGCTCTGAGAGTCCTGAATTCTTACTGGGTGGGTAAAGATTCCACGTACAAAGTCTTTGAGGTCATCCTCATCGATCCATCCCATGAGGCTACTGGAAGGAATACGGACACCCAGTGGATCACCAGCCGGGTCCACAAGCTCAGGGAGGTGCGAGGTGGGGAGGCGCGAGGGCTGACATCCCCGCACTGAGAGCCGCGGCCTCGGAAAGGGCCCCCAGTTCCACCACGCACGCTGCTGGTGGTTCTCACGGTGCAGCCTGGAGAGGGCGCCACACTCTGCGGCTCCACCGTTACCACTAATATGTGCCGTGTTTGTAACATTCTTACTTCATAAACAATTTGGGATAGAAGAAAAAACTGGAAAGATAGAGAACTAAAAAGCATTTTTCGAGAGAAAATACACACTATCAAGCAAAAAAGTTGTACAGACACACGTAAGTCTCTGTCCATCACCTCCTCCCTTCTCTCTGGGGGAAGGAGAATGGTCCCCTCTGGCCCGCCCAAGCCCTTGTCCTAAAAACCTGGGCCATCTCTCCCTGACCTTGCATTCTCCACCCACGCTCTCCTGTCTCCCTCTAGCTTACAGCCCAGGCCCTACGAAGGCTGTCTGAACTCACACTGTCCCCCTCTCCTGCTGCTGCAATCCACGTCACCCCCCTCCGACATGCTGGTCTGGTCACCCCTCCCTGAGACCCCTGCCCTCTGGGCCGTCCCTCTCTCCTTCCTCTCTCCTCCCTGGTTTCCACAACACCACTTTTCCTGGGGTTCCCCCTCCATCTCTATACGCTCCTTCTCATGCCCCTGCTCTGGCTTCCCTCCTCTGCCCCCTCTGCCCTTGGCCTTCTGCTCTCTGCCCTGCAAGCCTCTCAGCATGATCTTGCTCATGCCAGGGCTTCCGTTACCTTCGATCGCTGACGACGCTCAAAGATGTCTCTGCATATTTTTTCAGAGTATCAGGGATATGGAAGAAGAGGTGGACAGACTATTACACATGCTTCAGAAGCATTTTACAATTTTTAAAGTGACACACATATCCAACCCTTTTCTGGGACCGTCCGTTGGACTTCGGGTTCAGCAAGCCCCAGCCTGAACTCCCCCTCTCTCCCAGTCCTGTTCTCTTCCTTTCTTCAGGAGTCAGAAACGTGTTTAAGACAGAAACTTGGGAGTCACTCTCCCACTCCATGACCACCAACTGTCAACTACCCCTTCCCTGGATTCCAGCCCCTACCCATGCCCCTCCTCAGCCCCACTGACACAACAGTCCAGGTCCCCTGCATCTCTCCCAGAGAAGTTCGAACATTCATCCAATTCACTCATTCATTCATTCACAAAGTATTCACTGAGCACCAACTCTGTGTCAGACCCTGATTCCAGTGCTTGAGATGTGCCAGCGAACACAACACACAAAAAATCCCTGCCTCTGGCACCTGCAGTAATTTCAGAAGTTGCTCCCCTCTGTATTCCACCTTAACTCCTCCGACTGCCAACTCCCCTGCAGGCGCAGGGAACTTTGCAACATGTTCATCTACTCAGCCTCTTCCGTGGGACCTCATGAGCCTGGGGTCAAGCCTGGGCCACATGAGAGGTACCCTGCTCCCTCCCCTCCCATCTGCTCTCGCCTCACCAGGCAGACTCTGGAGCTCCTGCTCCGGGGCTCCCTCTGCATGAGGACCACCCCCCATTACAACACATATCACACTGTGTGGTGCCGTTTGCCTGCCCACCAGCCCGCTTTTCCTCTCCACCAAGCGCCTGCAGGGCTGCAGCCACTTTGATCCATTCTGTGTCACCAGTGCCTGGCCCATTATCTCATAGTAGAGGTCAACAAACAGTGGTGGGTTAAATAAATGACAGTGAATTTGCAGTATTGTCAGACAGGGAGAGGCTTGGGGAAACGGGGATAATGAGTTCTGAACTAGTCCCAGACCAGCCCCCAGTATCTGGGCTGACCCTGTGGTTAAAAGCAAGCCCCAGATCCTGCTTCTGCACCTACCAGCTGTGTTCTCTGAGCGCATTTCCTTTCCTACATAATGGGAACAAGAACTGAACCCGTCTCGGTGCTGTTGCAAGAAGAAGGTTTGATGCTGAGCGGAGTCGCTGGCATATTGGATCTCATTAAAAGTGAGCCGTTATCTTCCCTCACCAGCGTGGCTCAGTTGGTTGGAGTGTTGTTCCCTTACCCAAAGGTTACGGGTTTGAGTCCCAGTCAGGGCACATACCTAGGTTGTAGGTTCAACCCCCAGTCAGGTGCCTATGGGAGGCAAACAATTGATGTTTCTCACATCAATTTTTTGCTCTCTCTAAAATCAGTAAATACTTTTAAAAAGAACAAGTAACAAATGAGGCCATCAACTGCATGCAAGGAATTATGACAGACACTTCATCCATCTTTCAAGTGCCCACGAAATGTCTCTTCCTTGCCAGGTGCCGCTCACCCTGGTCTGGGCACCAGTCCCCGGTCCAGGCATGTACACGAGGCAAACTATCGATGCTTCTCTCTTGCATCGATGTTTTTCTCTCTCCCTTCCTCTCCCTCTAAAAGCAATGAAAAAAAAAAAAAAGTCCTCAGGTGAGGTTTAAAAAAACCAAAGTGAGCCATGACAACGTTATTGTCATCATCACCCCCCCCCACGGCGGCCATCCTCGCCCCTCCCCCTTGCATCCCCCTATGGCCATTCTCCACTCTTTCCTCCTCCCATCTCATCCCCCAACCCAGGCTTGTCCCACTTGGTCACCTCCACTCCAACCGTGCCTGGAACCTTGCAGGCCCAAGCCAGCAGGGACCTCGTCCTGCGGAATCCTTTCCTCCCTCAACCCCTCAGCAGCGTGTGGTCCAGGCATCGCTTTCTCCTCCTTAAACACCCTTTCTGACTTCCGTGACATGACCCCTCCTGCTTTTCAGGACAGCTTCTGGACCTCTCCCAACTCAGACTCTCTGCTGAGGCAGACTCACACGACAGACTGCCTGCTCCGCAGACCCCTGACGTCAGCATGTCCGAAGAGGTTCATTACCACCTCCACCACCCACTCCTGGGTCCTGGATTCTGCAGGTAAGTGGACAAATTAGCCCAGCCGCCAAACCCCTCAGGCTGTCCCTCTGGGTCTTGCCTTGCCAAGTAGTCCCAGTCCTGCTCTTAACATCCCATTAAAAAAAAATTATTGATTAATTTGAGAGAGAGAGAGAAAGGAAGGGAGACAGGCACACACAGAGAGAAACATTCATTTGTTTCATTTATCTTTGCATTCATTGGTTGATTCCTATATGTGCCCGGACTGGGGATCAGACCCACAACCTTGAAGTATCGAGATGATGCTCTAACCAACTGAATGCCCGGCCAGGGCCAACGTCCCACCTTCTTGACATCCTCCTACCCAGCCTTCCTCTCATCCCTGCTGCTCTGCCAAAGTCGAACCCACCCCTCCCAACTGCACCCTTACAAGTCTCCTACCGTTAGCTATTCAAGCAGAGCTTGTTTAAAAAACTGGACCTCAGACCCCCACCTCTGACTTAGTGAATCAGAATCTGCATTTTTATTTACTTTTAGAGAGAGGGGGATGGACAGAAAAAGAGAGGGAGAGAAACATCCGTCAGTTGCCTCTCATACATCCCCAACCAGGGACCTGGCCTGCAACCTAGGCATGTGCCCTGACTGGGAATCAAACCATGATCTTTTGGTTCCCAGACCCGCGCTCAATCCACTGAACTACACCAGCCAGGGCAGAGAATCTGCATTTTAACGAGAACCCCAGGGGACTCTCATGCACACTCAAAGTTGAGAATTGCTGTCCTAACCAATCTCCCAACCCCTAGCCTCTTCCCAGCCCTAACCAATCCCATACTTAACGACCAATGTGCAAATATGGCTCTGTACCGCTTACTTAAGAGACCTTAGGCCCTGCCTGGGTGGTTCGGTTGGATGGAGCACCATCCAGTACCACTGAAGGTCGTGGGTTTGATCCCTGGTTGGGAGCATACAGGAAGCAATTGATCGATATATCTCTCTCACATCGATGTTTCCCTCCCTCTCTTTCTCCCTCTCTCTCTGAAGTTAATAATAAAATATCCTTGGGTAAGGATTAAAAGTAATGAAAAACCCTAACAGGCTTTAGTCTTCCACTGCCCTCAGGACTACGAGGTCTGTCCAGAAAAAGTCCAACCATTGTTAATACAATGAGAATGGTTTGCACGACATTGATGTAACCTGGCAGCCAAGGAGAGTGGACTGGAATGCGCATGCGTGAACAACTACCCTGTATTAGTGGGGGTGGTAAGCACTGTTGAGTGAGCACATGTACGGTGTGGCCGTCGCATTCAAAGTGACTGAGTGAGTAGAGCAACAAATCTGCATCAAATTTTGCATTAAGCCTGAACATCCCTCTGCAGAAACTGCTGAGATGATTCAGAAGGCCACAGCTATGGGCAGTGGTGATTGGCAGCTTTATCATGACAACTCGCCTGCTCATGCATCATGTCTCATGCAGAGTTTTTAGGTAAAACACCAAATCACCCAAATGACTCAGCCCCCTACAGCCCAGACTTGGTGCCCGGTGACTTCTGGCTTTTCCCAAAACTAAAATCACCTTTAAAGGGGAAGAGATTTCAGACCATCCACAAAATGCAAGAAAGTATGCCAGGCAGCCGATGGCAATTGGGAGAACTGTGTGAGATCTCAAGATGCCTACTTTGAAGGGGGCTGAAGCATCATTGTCCTGTGTACAATGTCTCTTATATCTTCTTCAATAAGTGTCTCTTTTTCACAGTGTATGGCCAGATACTTTCTGGACAGACCTCATGAGTCCAAACTCCTAAGCACAAGAACCAAGTTCCCCTTAATCTGGTTTTTGCCTTATAGCTGATGGATCATCCTCTCACCACCCTGCCTTGCTCCCCTAACCCACGTACCACCATGTAGCAGACACAATGCGCAAGACCTTTCTGAAGGCCACTTTTGGCCTCATTTTTCTTCGTCACAGATACATGCAGCTAGATGAAATGCAACAGTGTTAAAGCAGTGAAAGTTATAGTGCTCCTGCTGCAGGGTGGACGGAGTTTGGCCGTATCGCTCACCTATGCACTTGTGAAGTGGAGCTTATGTTATGCCTTTCTTCTTATTTAACTTCAATACACATTTTGCTGTTTCCTACTTCCATGCCTTTGAACATGCTGTCCACCTCCTCCCCCACCCCAAGGATGCTCTTCTGTTCCTTATTTGCCTGCAGACCCTCCTTCACCCACTTATTTGCAGCTCTGGCCTTCCCGGACTCCACAAATACAGTTACTTCCTTCTTGCCTGTGTCAGCATTGTTCTTAGCACTATGGTAGAACTATCATCTCGAAGTTATTTCTCTGTATGTCTGTCACTCCCAGAGTCCCACGTGCTGTGTCTGTGTATCTGTCTCCTATGGCCTGCCCATGGTGATTCATTGAAGGGTTTGCTGAGAGACTAGATAACTCAACTTTTTCAATTTCTGTCCTGATGGTAACTATAACAGGGGGAATAAGGATTAGACTTCAGGAGGAACTGGTGGAGAGGAGGAACACAGCAGGGCAAATATGCCACTCATCTGTCATCCCTCAGCCTGGTAACTTCCCCAAGAGCAGAGTCATCAACCACAGAACATTAAGTCCAAGGGGAATTTCAAGATCTGGTCACCCAACCAAATGCCAGAGAGGGCAGTCGCTTTGCCCAAGGTCACAGAGCTGGCTAGGAACAGGGCCGGAACTAGATGCCAGGTAGCTCTGGGAAAGCTCTTAAAGCACCTGCTGGGACCTTGGCTGAATGGAGTTGCCAAAGTCCTCTAGATTGGAGGAGGGGATCCAATTACTCCCATTTTACAGATGGGCAAACCAACGCAGCAAGACTGTGTCACACTGCTAGCTCATGACACAGGCAGGATTGGGCATTACTGTGTGCTTCTTCCCAGCCCTGCAGAGTCACTATTTACAATAATCATGACGATTGGCCTCCTGATGCCTGGGAATCCCCTCACTCCCACCAGTTCCTCTTTAAGTTGACATTGCTCCTCTTGTATAGGAAAGAACCAGCACACCCACCCTCGCACCCCGACTAGGCCTGCTGGAGAGACCACCTCCGAGTCATAACCTTTGACGGGGAAATTACCCTCACCCTTCCCCGTGCCTGGCACTTGACGGTGTCACTGCTCACATCAGCCCTGAGTTTGGTACCACCGTCAGCATCGAGACGGGGAAATCGATGGTCCCAGGTAACGCATTACTAACCCATGGTCAAAGCCAGTAAGTGGCGAGGATGGGTCTCAAACGGAGGTCTTTCTGACTCTACCGCCAGGCTCTCCCAGCGGTCAGGTAAACTACCTGAAGCCTCTTACTGGCTGGGTTTGCTTCAGGAAAGTAACTTAACCTCTCTGGACACCCCCAAGGTCAGAAGCTTCGCTTCTGCTGAAGAAATTGGTGTGCAAACGAAACAAAAATCCACGGGCGTCAGCGCAGTCCTTCCCTGGAGCGCGGGGCTTTCTAATGAGAGGGTGCGTCTCCAGCCCGAGACCTGCGAAACCGAGCGCCCGGCAGCCTAGCAGAAGCGAAACCTCAACACCCTCCAGCCTCCCCCGCTCTGTTCTGGGAACCCGCCGGCCAGACTTCGTGGAAACGCGCATCGCCGCAGCCGCCTCGAGCCCCGGGGCCTCCCCGACTACAGCTCGCAGGACCCGGCCGGGAGGTTCAGGGGGCGGCGCGGTCGGGCCCGAGAAGCAGCGCGAGGCGCGCTTCCGCCCCACTCGCTTCGGCAGCGGCCGCGGCGGCCCCACAATCCCCTTCTGGCTCCGGGGACGGGCGGGGCGGGGCGGGGCGGGGCGGGGCGGGCCGAGCGGGCGGAAATAATTTTCTGTTTGGTCCTCTCTGCCCCAGTCCCTTAGCCGCGGGTCGCGCGGGACATCGAGATCTCCGAGGCGGGAAGAGGGAGCGGGAACGCGAAGTCCTGGCACGCTTAGAGGGGCGGAGAGGGGGCGAGGACGGGTGGAGCCCTACTTACTGTACGCTTTAGCGCTTTACAAAAGGGTTTTCGTTAAATCTCCCCTACAGCTCTTTCAGGAAGCCTCGGATGCCCACATTTCAGAGGGACAAGCTGAACCTCTGAAAAGTGAAGTCACTCGCTGGCCCAAAACTGCACACCTAGGATCAGCGTGACGCCCCAAATAAGCGCTCAGTTACACCAAGCACGATGAATCGGAACCACTTGTTGGCTAAGTCCTGCTCTTCTCTGTGTGTGTGTATGTGGACAGGCACATAGTAAGTGCTCAGAAAAGTGCTGGAAGCCAGAGAATGAGTTGGACAGTTCGGCCTTGGGAGTGCTGGCCGCGAATCCCGCTCAGCGCGCGTATCACCGGGTTCCCCCAGGACGGACGTCTGATTTCGACACCGACATTCGGCGAACGAGTGGTAGCGGAGCCCCAGCCCCAGCGGAGGACAGACTGGATTCAAATCCCGACTCTGCCTGTTTCAGGCTGTGTGACTTTGGGCAAATCACTTCATCCGCTGGAACCCTGGTTGCTCCATCTATAAAATGGGGATATGAACACCCACCTCAAAGGGTTGTGGAGAGCACTAAACGAAAAGGTGTTCCTAATACTTACTACACGCACAAGTATCGTCGAGCGTTCATTCCACAAGTTTCAGGCGGTGCGTCCGCACCGGGTGAAGACCCCAGACAAAGGCTCCTGTGTCCCGGTCCCGAGGGCGCCCTCCCCTAAACTCAGGGACCGACAGGCTTTCCAGTGACCCTCATCCCGCGAAACCCCGAAACTGCGGCCACCTCTGCCGCCGTCGGTCCCGAAAGCAAATACTCAAATATTCCGAAACTGGCGAATGGCTAGGGCTGACATTTTTGCGTTTAATTTTCTTTTAAGTTTTATTCCTGTCAGTAAAGGTAGTTTCTTGAGACTTCCCGTCTGTGTCTTGTTGAACTTTTCGTATGAGCGAAGTTCACAAAGCGGACCATACTCGCGCGTGGCAGTTCGTTGCAACGATCCCAAACTTCGGACCGGCCCCCGACAATCCCCTAGCTTTCCGCCCCCTCCCCTAAGCACGGACGCAGCAGAGACGGGCCTCCTCCCGTCCCCCCCGTTTAGACAGAACCTCTTCATCCTGGCAGCCCTCCGGAATTCCCGGGTCCCTGCAGGAGCAAAGGAAGGTGGTGGCCGCAGCTTCCCCAACCGTCTTAAACTCCAGCTTTGCCAGGATTAAGGGAGTAAATCTCTGACGCCACAGACCAGGTCAAGGACAAGTTCTCCCCCGCCCTACTCCCCACTCCAGGGCGGGGATTCACCCACCCCACCCCTTCCCGGATGAAAGGTACTAAATAGACGCGAAGGGAGGGGTGGCGGCGGGCCCGGGCCCCTTGATGTTCCGGTTGAACAGGTGCTGGTGAAAAGGAGGCGGTCCCGGCGGAAGAGTGGGCCAGGGGGGCAGTGCGCGGAAGGGGGGGCAACCTCTTCCATCCTCTGTACCCTGCGGGTCTTCCCCTCTACAGCGCGTCTGCCCCTCCCCCGCAGGAAGCCTCCCCGGCCGAGAGGTCTTTGAAGTGTCGCTGAAGCCTCCCCGAGCTGCCTTCTCTCCTCCGCCACACCACCTCCCAGTGAGGGAGAGTGACCTCTGGTCTCTGCAGGCGTCTACCCCTTTTTAGGAAGTTGGGCGGGGGGGGGGGGTCAGATTTCGTCCCTCTTGCCCACACAGATCTTGGGGATGAAGCCTTTGGCCTGACCCCCCCTCACTTCCTCCCAAACTCAATTTCAAGGACTTTCATTTTGGGGGGTGCTGTGTGTGACTTTGTGTTGTTCGTGTGCATGCCTAGAGGTCAAGTGTAACTTGTCTGTGAGGGGTGAGTCTCTAACTCGCGTGGGTCTCTAAGCGCGCCTGTTGTGCTGGACCTGGGGTTTTTATCTCCCTGGGAGGGGCAGGTGGTGTGGCTGGATGAGGCTGGGAATTAGTGTGTCTGAGTGCCAAGGTGTGCCTCTAAGGTTTATATGAGTCCCTGCGTGTGTGTCTTTGAACTGGACCGGAAGCTCCCCGAGGGCAGGAATACCTGTTTTGTTCACCGCTCTACCCAGAGGCAGCACAAAGTCAGCATTCAATAAATACTTGTTGAATGAACAAATGTTCGCTTGTGCGTGTTACAATGTCTGCTCTCCAGAATGACCTCCGGGGAGAGAGCGCACAGGCGGCCATGCAAAGAGCCCCCAGACTCGGAGGGGTGAGCGACTCCCGTCGCTCCAGCTTCTTCTAGCGCCCTTGCCCCTGCTCTCCACTCCCAAGTTTCCTTGGGGTTGAAGAACAGCCGCAGAAACTAAGACCTGGAGGAGTCTGAAGAATCGGACCCGGGGCCGAGAGCGAAAGACCGGCAGAGGGAGGGCTCAGGAGCGCCAACTAAGAACTACAGAAAGAGAAAGAATAAGGGAAAATTCGCGTGGAACGAGCGAGCGAGCGAGCGAAAAGCTCCCTACCAAGCCAGGCTTTGTTCCCTGAACCTAAGACTTTACCCGGCGGCGGGCGGCGGGCGGCAGGCGGGCCGGGAGCGAGCGAGCGAGCGGAGGCGCGCGGCCATGGCTGCCGCGGCGGGGCAGGGAGGCCGGGGGGGCGGTGCGTGAGCGGGGTGCTCGGGGCTGGCGCCCGCGATGTGCCGTTCGGCGCCTCCCCCGCCCGGCCCGGGTTGCGCGGCGGCAGGGCGGCCCTGGTAGCTGGGCGCGCGGCGCGGAGGGGGTGAGCCCGGCGCTCGGGTCTCATTGTTGGGGGGCGGGGGGGCCCGTCGGGGCATGAGGGCGAGAGCACGGCGGGGGGGGCGGCCAGACCAAGCGAGCGAAGAGGAGGAGGAGGAGGACGCCGAGGAGGAGGAAGGAGGAGGCAAAGAAAAGAAGCCGCGGCGGCGGTGGAGGAGGAGGAGGAGGAGGGAGCGAGGAGGCGCGCGGCCCCCCGCTCCCTCCCTCCCCCCCTGACCCCCGACCCCCGCCGGCCGGCTACCCGCCCCAGCCCCGGAGGGAGCTCATGGGAGTATGAAGGAGATGGTAGGAGGCTGCTGCGTATGTTCGGACGAGAGGGGCTGGGCCGAGAACCCGCTGGTCTACTGTGATGGGCACGCGTGCAGCGTGGCTGTCCACCAAGGTACGGGGGTGGCCCGCGGGGGGCGGCGGGACCCCAGGGGCGGCGTGCGCTGGGCGCCCTCAGCCGCGCCCTCCGGAGACCTCCTGGGGCTCGGGCGCCCCTCCCCCACCCCACCTGAAGGGCTGGGAGGTGTCTGGGGCTCCCCCCGCCCTGTCCTGGAGGACCAGGTCAGGCATTGTTTTCTTGCCTATTGTTCCAGTTCTGCGCCCCCCACCCCAAGTTGAGGGAGTTTGGAGACAGTCTAGGGGGCAATGAGTGCACTATCCGAGCCCCGCACCGTCAGTGTCGGGGTTGTTGGGAGAATGTTTACCTTAGAGGTGTCCCCTCCTGCCGGGTTATTTTGGTCCTGGCCCCCAGAGGGAGAGGTCAAGGGGGAGTCATCCCCCCTCCCGCTTCCGGATACTGGGAGGAGCGTATTGGGAAGAGAGGAGACGGGTCCCAGGGGAGAGGGGACTCCTAAAATCCTCCGAGGAAGAGCTGCCGATAGGAGAGAGGTTGTGCAAGGGGCCGGAATCGAAAAGAGGGAGGTTTGGAGTTTCCCCCAGCAGCACATGGTTCGGGAGTTAACTCCTTGAGGAATCTTGCCGAGGGTGCAGGCTGGCATCTCCCGCCTGTCTGGCACAGCCAGCTGCCCCCACCCCTTCCTGGGACAGCTCTTAATGCTGTCGCTGTCGGCTCTTCCCGCCACTATCCTATAGGTTACCTGTACTGCACCTGTCCTCAGCCTTAACTTTTGACCTGCCCCGTTAGAGGCTGAAGATGAGGTCCTTGGAGCCCCAACTTTTCCGCCTCTTCCCTTACTGGCCCTTTAAGAAATGCTCCCCCCCCCCCATAACAACAAAAAACGTGTTTGACTGTTGTAATGTCCCTCTAGTTTTCTCTGTTCTGATGATCTCTGGCAGAAGTTGGGAAGCAGGTCCTGAAAGGGTATGGGGGAGGGTCTTGTAGAGTTTAAGGTCAAGGACTCAGACTTCCTGCCCCTGCTTGGAGTGTTTGGTTGTGTGGTTGAAGGCTGCCCTGTGCGCTGTTGGGTATTTGTGGTCCTACTGGTTAGTGAGTGAGCCCCCAGACAGGGGAGCAGCCCCCCCTACTGGAAGTGTCTCTAGTCCTTTAGCGTCACCTCCCTTCCCCAGTTACTCGGGGAAAGCCACTGTTGACAGGTTTGCTCCTGACTCTCCTCCCCCACCCCCAGCTTGCTATGGCATCGTGCAGGTGCCAACTGGACCCTGGTTCTGCCGGAAATGTGAATCTCAGGAGCGAGCAGCCAGGGTGGTGAGTTTGAGGCTCCCCTCCCCCACCCATACACCTGAGCACCTCCCCTGGTTAGGGCAGGGGACTCAGCCTCAGACTGGGGTGGGACTGTCACAGGACTTCCTGTTTCCTGAACACTATCACCAACCCCATCTCACCCTCTTCTCTGCCCCACCTCAGGCAAGGAGCCTTTTATTTTTGTTTGCTTGTTTGTTTGAACTTTTTATTACGGGAAATTTCCAACCCGCGTAATAGTAGAGAGAATACTACAAGGAATCTGATGTTCCCATCACCCATGTTCAGCACTTACCAGCTCAGTCCTGTTCCCTCTGCACCCCCAACTCATTCCCCCATAGACAGCTTATTTCCTCCTGGGGCCCTGTGAATGTGTTGGGAAGGGCAGATCAGCAGACCCCCACCCCCTTTTGAAAAGGCTCCCCTCCATCCCTGTGCCCCTTGCCTTGGCAGAGGTGTGAGCTGTGCCCACACAAAGACGGGGCATTGAAGAGGACTGACAATGGAGGTGAGCAGGCCCTGAGCTCCAGGCCTCATCTGCTGAGGTCAGCAAGGTCCCCTGAGCAGGGTCTGGGGAGGCAGGAGTGGGTGTGTGTTGGAGTGCATGTGTGTTGGTGTGTTGGGGGGAGGGCAGGGTGTGTGTGTGTTTCGTCTCCCTTTCCCAGCTGGCACTGGAATCTGATGGGAATGCCACGGGGGAGGGGACCGTCTGCTGTGTGGGGCAGTGCGGGTCGGGGTCTCCGTCTTGGCTCGCCGTCGCAGCCCCGGCCCGCCCCGCCCCGCCCCAGGTTGGGCCCACGTGGTGTGCGCCCTCTACATCCCCGAGGTGCAGTTTGCCAACGTGCTCACCATGGAGCCCATCGTGCTGCAGTACGTGCCTCACGATCGCTTCAACAAGGTCAGCGGCCCCTGCTGTGCCCTCACCCCGGCCCCTCCCTAGCTGGGTCCCTCCACCTCTCTCTGTCCCGTGTAATTCGATGCTGCCCAGCAGCCACTTGCAGAGAACTCAGGAGGTGAGCAGGCACCTTTCACTGACAGCACATTCGGGGTCTGGGATTCAGGTGCCGCCAGAGGGCAGACCTTGGCGAGCAGTTCATTTGTTCGCACCCTAAACACACTTTACAGAGTGCCTACTATGTGTTACACCCGGGGCGAGGTGCCACCAGGCACCTACTATGTGTTACACCCGGGGCGAGGTGCCCCCAGGCGCACAGCGTTCAGTGCTGATCGGGATGGGCGTGCTTCCTACCCTGTGGAACTCAGACTCTTGTGTGGAGAAACTGTAAAGTTCAATAAACAGGCAAATAAAGTGAATAAAGTTTGTGGTAAGGCTGTAGAGAAAACCTCATACTGAAATAAGGCCTGCCTGGGGGGGGGGCGCTTTCTTTAAATAGGTGGCGAAGGGAACGGACATTTAGGCGGGGGCGGGGGGGAGGGGGCTGGCGGAGGAGGAGGAGCCAGCCTGGAGGAGGGTGGGCTCCAGGTTCTAGTCAGAGGCGAGAAGGAGTGAGCAAGGCGGGCACAG